TGTGTGTGTGTGTATGTGTGTGTCTGTGTGTGTCTCTCTGTGTATGTGTGTGTTGTGTCTGTGTGTGTGTCTGTGTGTGTGTCTCTGTGTGTGTGTCTCTGTGTGTGTGTCTCTGTGTGTCTCTGTGTGTGTGTCTGTGTGTGTCTGTGTGTGTGTGTCTAAGGTGGAGTTACTCCCGTACTGTAGGAGTAGCGATACTGGATGTGGTGAGACTGCATGGATGGTGGGTTTGGGTGGTATGGGATGTGGGAGTTCGGGATGAATGGCTGGAACCGAGTGAACACACCGAGTGAACAGTGAACACCGGGGAAATGAACGCCACTTGGGGTAGTGAACACTGGGGGTAGTGAACACTGGGGGTAGTGAACACTGCGGGGAGTGAACGCCACTGGACAATGAACACTGACGGGGGGGGGGAGTGAAATTTGTGACGTGCACGCTAATCTGAGAATCCGTCTGGGAGTTTGTTTCTGCGTTCCCGCCGCAGTGAATGACTGATGGAAGGGAGGTTTAGGAGTGGGGTTTAGGAGAGGGGGTTTAGGAGAGGGGGTTAGGAGAGTGGGGTTAGGAGAGGGGGTTTAGGAGTGGGGGTTAGGAGAGGGGGTTTAGGAGAGGGGTTAGGAGTGGGGGGTTAGGAGAGGGGGGTTAGGAGTGGGGTTAGGAGAGGGGGGTTGGAGTGGGGAGTTAGGAGTGGGGGGTTAGGAGAGGGGGTTAGGAGTGGGGTTAGGAGAGGGGGGTTAGGAGAGGGGGTTTAGGAGTGGGGGTTAGGAGTGGGGGGTTAGGAGAGGGGTTAGGAGTGGGGGGTTAGGAGAGGGGGTTAGGAGTGGGGTTAGGAGAGGGGGTTAGGAGTGGGGTTAGGAGAGGTCGGTTAGGAGAGGGGGTTTAGGAGTGGGGGGTTAGGAGTGGGGGTTTAGGAGTGGGGGTTTAGGAGTGGGGGTTTAGGAGTGGAGTTTATGAGTGGGGTTGAGGAGTGGAGTTTAGGAGTGGAGTTTAGGAGTGGCGTTTATGAGTGGGGGTTAGGAGTGGGGTTTAGGAGTGGGGTTTAGGAGTGGAGTTTAGGAGTGGAGTTTATGAGTGGGGGTTAGGAGTGGGGGTTAGGAGTGGAGTTTATGAGTGGGAGTTTATGAGTGGGAGTTTAGGAGTGGGGTTTAGGAGTGGGGGGAGATTTAGGAGAGATCGATTTGACCTTCGGCTGATCCTGCGATGTGATTTTGTCCTCTCTTTGTGGTTGTTGCTACGTGATGAGTAACTTTCGTTTTGTGCACAAAATTAAGTTATACTGCAGGATTTCTGACAATAAAAATATTGCACTTTGATGCCCACGCGCGTCCATGCCGTGTCGTCGTTACGCCTGCCTCTGACACAGTACACAGGCGTGTGCTGTGTCACGTGAGTGTGCTGTGTCACGTGAGTGTACTGTGTCACGTGAGTGTGCTGCGTCACGTGAGTGTGCTGCGTCACGTGAGTGTGCTGCGTCACGTGAGTGCCCTGCGTCATAGTGTGCTGTCACGTGAGTGTGCTGCGTCATAGTGTGCTGTGTCACGTGAGTGTGCTGCGTCACGTGAGTGCCCTACGTCATAGTGTGCTGCGTCACGTGAGTGTGCTGCGTCACGTGAGTGTGCTGCGTCACGTGAGTGTGCTGCGTCACGTGAGTGCCCTGCGTCATAGTGTGCTGTGTCACGTGAGTGTGCTGCGTCACGTGAGTGCCCTGCGTCATAGTGTGCTGTGTCACGTGAGTGTGCTGCGTCACGTGAGTGTGCTGCGTCACGTGAGTGTGCTGCGTCACGTGAGTGTGCTGCGTCACGTGAGTGCCCTGCGTCATAGTGTGCTGCATCACGTGAGTGTGCTGCGTCACGTGAGTGCCCTGCGTCATAGTGTGCTGCGTCACGTGAGTGTGCTGCGTCACGTGAGTGTGCTGCGTCACGTGAGTGTGCTGCGTCACGTGAGTGTGCTGCGTCACGTGAGTGTGCTGCGTCACGTGAGTGTGCTGCGTCACGTGAGTGCCCTGCGTCATAGTGTGCTGTGTCACGTGAGTGCCCTGCGTCATAGTATGCTGTGTCACGTGAGTGTCCTGTGTCGTAGGAGTGTCCTGTGTCATAGGAGTGTCCTGTGTCATGTGTCATAGGAGTGTCCTGTGTCGTAGGAGTGTCCTGTGTCACGTGAGTGTCCTGTGTCACGTGAGTGTCGTAGGAGTGTCCTGTGTCGTGTGAGTGTCCTGTGCCGTAGGAGTGTCCTGTGTCGTAGGAGTGTCCTGTGTCGTAGGAGTGTCCTGTGTCGTAGGAGTGTCCTGTGTCCCGTGAGTGTCCTGTGTCGTAGGAGTGTCCTGTGTCGTCGGAGTGTCCTGTGTCATAGGAGTGTCCTGTGTCACGTGAGTGTCCTGTGTCGTAGGAGTGTCCTGTGTCATAGTGTCATGTGTCATGGGAGTGTCCTGTGTCGTAGGAGTGTCCTGTGTCATAGGAGTGTCCTGTGTCGTAGGAGTGTCCTGTGTCGTAGGAGTGTCCTGTGTCATAGGAGTGTCCTGTGTCGTAGGAGTGTCCTGTGTCGTAGGAGTGTCCTGTGTCGTAGGAGTGGCTTGTATCATAGGAGTGTCCTGTATCGTAGGAGTGTCCTGTGTCCCGTGAGTGTCCTGTGTCGTAGGAGTGTCCTGTGTCATAGGAGTGTCCTGTATCGTAGGAGTGTCCTGTGTCGTAGGAGTGTCTTGTATCATAGGAGTGTCCTGTGTCGTAGGAGTGTCCTGTATCATAGGAGTGTCCTGTGTCATAGTGTCCTGTATAATCTCATAGCCACCGTGATGATGATGAGAGAGAGACGCAGACTCCAAATCTACAGCAGCAGCAGCAGCAGGCGTCAGGGTCGGGATCGAACCCATGACCTCCTGTACACCAGGCGAGGTAGTCAACATCTCATAGCCACCGTGATGATCGCAGGGGCAAGTGCTGCTAGCGGGCACGGGGCCGTCCATATATGACGTCACGCACCCAAGGGGAGGGAGGGGGGGTTTGAGAAATGTGACGTCACATCAAAATTGCGCAACTTTATAAATAAATATAGACATAACACGTTCTACTTAATTAAATAGACTTGTTAATGAAAGTTTTCTTCCTACAACATCAGAGTGCAGCGCCACATTAAATACGCAACTACAATGACAATAGTTTATAGCGATTTAAAGCATGTTTTATATTTTTGGGGGGGGGGAGGGGGGGCAGAGCTTTGTGACGTCATATTTGAGGTGGGGGAGGGGGTCTGACTTTTTGTGACGCCGTGTGACGAGAGGGGGGGGGTCAAAAATCGTCCCAAATCGCGTGACGTCATTTATGTCCGGCCCCTAAGAAGGCTACCGGCACTGTGGCACACTCAAGGCGGGAATGGTGGCCAGGCACCACCACGCACGCCCGACCGACCGCCTTTGTCTTTCTTTAGTGGAGAAGCCGTCACAAGGCACTCGTTTCAGGCTGAGTCTACCTAGGGGGAGACCTAAGGGGCCGTCCGTAAATGACGTCACGCGATTTTGGACGATTTTTGAACACCCCCCCCCCACTTCGTCACACGACGTCACAAAAAGTCAGACCCCCCCTAAAAAATGACGTCACAAAGCTCTGCCCCCCCCCCCAAAAATCGCTTTATACTATTGTCATTGTAGTTGCGTATTTAATTAAGTAGAACGTGTTGTCTATATCATTTATAAAGTTGCGCAATTTTGATGTGACGTCACATTTCTGAACCCCCCCCCAACTCTCGTCACACATCGTCACAAATGTCTGACCCCTCCCCCCCGAGGTGCGTGACGTCATCTATGGACGGCCCTTAAGACGGACTCCGTTCCTAGACATAATCCGGGACGGTTGGCAACTCAACGTGGGACGAGTTCGATGGCCGATGGAGTGGGCGGGGCGAAGAAAGTGGGCGGGGCGAAATAGGAAGAGGGGTGGGCGGGGTCAGCTAGAGGGGCGGGGACAGCTGGAGGCGGGGCAGCTTGAGGGGGGCGTGGCAGCTGTGTGGGAGGGGCCAACTGTGGGGGCGCGGCTGGATGGAGGGCGGAGTCAGCTGGAGGGGGGGGGAAGGAGTTGGGCCCGATCACGTGACAGCGCCGTGACGTCACGACAATATACTGTACATACACTGACAGTGAGACTGTACGTACATTGACAGTGAAACTGTACGTACAGTGCGCTAGGGTCCGGTGTCTCCCTCCCGTTGTCTCCGCGTGTGCGTGCACGAGTTTCTCTTGGGAGTGTCTCATTCTGATTCTCCCGCGCGTGTCCCGAGTCTCCACGTGTTTCAGGGTCGCCGCGTCCCTTGACCTGGTGTCTCTCCCGATTGTCCCCGTGTCTCTGTCTCTCCCTGTCCACGTGTCTCTCCCGAGTGTCCCCGTGTCCCAGTCTCCCCCTGTCCACGTGTCTCTGTCTCTCCCTGTCCCAGTCTCCCCCTGTCCCAGTCTCCCCCTGTCCCAGTCTCCCCCTGTCCCAGTCTCCCCCTGTCCACGTGTCTCTGTCTCCCCCTGTCCCAGTCTCCCCTGTCCCAGTCTCCCCTGTCCACGTGTCTCTGTCTCCCCGTGTCCCTGTCTCCCCTGTCCACGTGTCACTGTCTCCACGTGTCTCTGTCTCCACGTGTCTCTGTCTCCACGTGTCTCTGTCTCCCCGTGTCTCTGTCGCCACGTGTCTCTGTCTCCACGTGTCTCTGTCTCCACGTGTCTCCCGAGTCTCTCCCCCCCCACCACCAACCCCACTTTGTTGTCTGAGATCCGCGATGCTGCAGAGGACGCTGCTCATATCCCTGCGATCCGGGCGGAGGGGACCGTGTCCCTGTCTCTCGGGGAGACGCGGGGGTATGGGGACACGTGGGGGACAGGGAGACACGGGGGGACGCGTGGGTCTGGGGACACGTGGGGGACAGGGAGACACGGGGGGACAGGGAGACACGGGGGGACAGGGAGACACGGGGGGACACGGGGGTCTGGGGACACGTGGGGGACAGGGAGACACGGGGGGACAGGGGGA